AAGAATCTCAATGAATTTGATCCCAGATTATTGGGAAAATAATCCTGTTGGTGACACGAATGGATGAACAGGAATGAGATGCAGGAATAAGAAAAAGTGATTGGCCATTTGAAAACTAAAAAAAATGAGTGAGAAGAACTGTTGCAAAGTGATTTCGATAGAAATAAAAATAGATGAAGAGGATTAAATAAAGAACTTTCAGCAGAGTGAATGGAATAAAAAAGTGATGAAATTATTTTAAGAAGTAAGGGAATGTTCAAGGAAGGAATTATAATGATATGTTGAAGGGTGGAATTGAAATGAATGCTAAATATCAAAAGAAAAAAGGAAATGAGAATGTTGGGGGGGAAATGGTAGAACTAGTGACATAGATTGGTTAACTGAAGAAATTTTAGAAATATAAATATAGTTTGCTTATGAAATGTTTGCCTGACTTGTATAATTTATCTGTGAAGATGGCATCTGTACTTGATATGGGAAGAATGCCATCGTTCTCCTAGACAAAGGGAAAAGACACAGGAATGAACCCAAAATAAATGAGCAGTGACAATGAAGAAAATGCAAGAAGTGTAGTGTGGCTTCATGCTAGATTGGGTGTGTACAGCAGATGCACATTCTTTGGTTGGCCCATGAGAAATATATGAGTGTGAGAAATATTTGATACATTTGTTGAAATGGGTCCTCATTTTACTGACCTTGGAAGGATGGAAGGCTGAGTCAACCTTGATCCAGTGAGAATCGAACTGCCAAATGGTGGCAGCTGTCAATCAGCAGTAGTCTGCAGTACTGCATTCTAACCATTGTGCCATCATAGTTCAGTTAGTATATAGTATATGGATAGTATAGTCCATTGAACAGAATGAATGTTGTTGAAAATCACTGTACGTAGGAGTCCAGTTGTCCCTAATTTATTATAAGGATGTGAGACTTGATGATGTTAGCAGAAATTTAAAGTAGAGTCAAATGGGAAGGAGATACAAGAAGTATGTATGCAAAACACGGACAGGATCAAGAATAAATAGATATTGAAAGAATATGGATTGAATACAAAAATATCCTGTACAAAATACATTAAAGTATACATTAGAGAATTCTGCCAAGACCATTATGCAGGTAATAAGCAACCATTCATTTAGTGACTGAGGTCACAATGGTACTGGGAAAAAATGATTTATGCCAATTTCAGCATCCCCATGTCACATGATGAAACTTCAGGTATTTAGCAACTGGCATGTATTTACAATAGTTGCAGCATCCCAGGGTCATGTGATTGCCACTTGCAACTTTTCCAGCTGGCTTCCAAAAAGCAAAGTCAATAGGGGAAACTGGATTCACTGAATAACTGCATGATTCATGTAATAGCTGCAGTGATTTGCTTAACAGCCATGCCAAAAAAAGGCTGTAAAATTGGGCACATCTCACTTAACAATGGCCTTGCTTAACTATAGAAATTCTGGCCCTAATTGAAGTCATAAGTCAAGGATTAGCTGCATTGCAGTGGTACCTTGGTACGCAAGTGTTTTGAAAGTCATTGAATTTGGTACTTGACATATTTGGACGTCAACATTTTGTCATGGTACTCATCATTTGTTTGGTACTTGAAATACAAGCTAGAACTTGTCAGTGTTAGCTTCCTTGTGACTCACTACATTATGGGAAAATTTTGTTTGGTATTCATTGTTTTGGATACTCATTGCAGGTTCCAGAACCAATTAACGAGTACCCAGGTACCACTGTATTTCTAAATATATATTAAGTTCTAGGAATGCTACAAAGTGGTATCTAGATGAAAAATGCTTTTCCTGTGTCATTGGTATTTAACTGCCTTTCAAAGGTTAAGATTTAGAGCTTTGTTTGCAGAAATGGATTCTGCTCCCATAGTCATCCATTCCCAATCATGATAATATCAAATGATGAAATGTTGTCCGTTATATCACAATGTAAAGTCTGCCCTTTTGTACTTCACCATGTCTCATTCAAAATGTAAGAGCAAAATTTATATTCTGATTTGTCATTTAGTCCATCTTCTGTCTGATGGATGCTATGCCTGCTATTCTCTCTCAGTGCCTCTACTTATGTGCTTAAGTATACAGTACTAAGTAGGCAGTTCATAATCCATGACAATCAGATCAAACAACTTCTAAGCCTTGTGTGAAATCAACAGCATAGCCTAAGTGTAATAGCATTCTCCAATCTTTATTCCATAGCAACTGATATTCACAAGTATGTATCCAAGCTATTCAAAATTGCATTCTGCAGGATCTGTACTCAGAGTTATGTTTCCTAGCTACTGGTATTCAGAGGAACCTCCTTAATAAGTGGTATTTAGATGCATTCTTGTCATTAAGAGCAAATTCCATTCTGTATTCTACTGCTTGAAAAGTGACCTTGCTTTGCAACAGCAAAATTCATATCATTCCCCTTCTTGAAGTCAGATTTATTTTTCTTTACTGAGGAATGAAAGTGTCTGGAGCATATTGTTGCGCAGTGATTTTCATTGTATACATTGTCTTGCATTTGTCAGAGAGGACATGTATACAGCAGTACTGTCTGTGTTTATACAGAAATCAATACAGTTTACTCCCAAGCAAAGAATGAAAGAAACTGTTCAATGAGGTTGAGGCCTCAGGTAGAGTTACTATAGCCTTAAATTCAACACGAGCCAAACCGGCATGCTTAAAATACAGTTATAGAGTTTTGAATTACAGGTTGTCCTCCATGTACGACCACAGTTGAGTCCAAAATTTCCACTGCTAAGCAAGACAGTTGTTAAATGAGCTTTGCCCCATTTTATGACCTTTCTTGCCACAATTGTTAAGTGAATCACTGCAGTTGTTAAGCTAGCAACATGGTTGTTAGGTCAGCCTGGCTTTCTCCATTGACTTTGCTTGTCAGAAGGTTGCAAAAGGTGTACCCATGACCCGGGGACACTGCAACTGTCATAAGTACATGCCAGTTGCTAAGCGTCCAAATTTTAATCACATGACCATGTGAATGCTGCAATTATCGTATGAATTAATGGTCATAAGTCACTCTTTATACTGCTATTGTATTTTTGAGTGGTCACTAAGTGAATGATTGTAAGTCAAGAACTGCATAAATCTCCCCATTTGAGTTGCATTTAGATCTCCATGGCCAATGCAAGGTTTATTAACCTTCACCAGGAACACATATATTTAGCAATGGTCACATCTGACACTATTTTTTTCCCCTCTCTTTTTCTCTATTTTTTTTCTTCTTCATTGCTTAAACTATACCACTGTCAGGAATGATCAAGGACTAGATAACCCCCTTTAATTAGTGTAATTAACTGGAATCTCTGCAATGCTCATTTGTCTTATAATATCCAAGCAATTTAAAACCACTCCTCCTCTAGACAGAAGTTATAATTGCCTTCCTGGTTTTCTTTTTGATAAAGCAAAATGGAGCCCTATCCCCAGATAGCATAAAAAAGCCAAATCAACTCATTACAACACAGAGATGAATGAGAGAAGTGAATAAATAAACCCCCTTGGGCATCATTTTTGTCTACAGGTAAGTTTGAAGTTGCAACTTCAAAATTCAAATGACAAAATGGGGTCACTGTTTTGCTCAGCAATGAAAATTTTGAACTCAGTTGTTGTTGTATACTTAAAATCCAAGTGTTGATTCCCAGTCAGACCCTTGATTTTTAATCTAGGAGATGCTTAACAATTTGTTCCTGAGAATTTCTTCTTTTTATAATCTCCAGGGGAATAACAGCAAAAACATTTGGATCCAGCAAAGGAAATGTGTACATTGAAGCTGAGGATGTCTGAATTTAAGGACCCTATGTTAGTGTCTGGTGTAGGCATATTAATAGCCATAATGACAAAGAAGTGGAACAGAAATGTAATAAATAAATGTCTAAAGCTGGACAAGGTGAATGTTTCTGACCTATTGTAGATTGTCATATGAGACTATGGCCAGATAGAATGTCATACTAACCATGATTTATTTGAACCACAATTTATTGAATAAGCCAAGAAGGCTGAGCTTACATATTATGTGAAGCCCAATCTGAGCATTATATCTGATATGATATGTGGATCCTCCTCATGAATTTGCAGGATCTGAAGAGCCTACATTATTCCAGTCTTGAATATGTGTGCTTGTGTGCTTTTAATTCCTTTTCACTGACTACCACTTATATTCTAGCAAGGTTGAATTGAATCAATTGGGCTTTAATTTCATTAGTAGAGAATGCAGTAGGACTTTTTTTTTTCCCTTGTATAATACTTGAGAGCTAAATTGACAGCCGGGCAGCTTTCAGGGCAGAGATGCCAGTTCTGTCAACAAGCAACATCTGTTTTGTCTTTAGAGTCTTCAAGTGCAGGGCAAAAATTCAATTGAAATATAAGATAGAAGAAGCAATCAGTATAACCTGTCATGGGTGCATGGGAGAAACTACACTCATGCTGACAGAGGACACTCAGCCATTCACTGGGGCTTCATAAGGATCCTGTTCGGCTGCATCATGTCATTTCAGAGGCCATTTTGCCAAGTCTATATCTAGAAGCTAAGCCAAGAGGGAATGAGGGAATGAGATTTACCATCTCAATAAAGGAACATATTTGTAGCTCAAGATTGAAATAAAGGGTCCTTGGTGCTTTCTGAGCTTGGTTGTTTTCTTGCAGATGTTTCATTACCCAAACTAGGTAACATCCTCAGCACTGATGACATTACCTAATTTGGGTAATGAAATGTCTACAAAAAAACAACTAAGATCAGAGAGCACCAAGGACCCTTGATTTACCATCTAGACCTGGAGTGGGTACCTGAAAACTAGCACAAAATTAATGATGATGATGATGATGATCATCATCATCATCATCATATCCATTCAGTTGTGTTCAACTCTTGGTAATTCAATGGGCCAGGTCTTCCACATCTTCTGTTCTTGTACTACTTCTTTGAGTTGTTCTATGCTCTGGCTGGTGTCAGATTTAATGGTAAGCTCAAAATTAAAAAGAGCCAACATCTTCAGAAATTTAAAATATAATTTATTGATAAGCAGTTTGTTAAAATAACACATTTTTTCAGCTTATAAATCAATGCATCATACATTAGATTGAAATCATTATGTCAGTTTATTTTCTTGAAGGAAGAAAAGTGTAATTCAGGACCGAACTAATAATTACAATCAAAATTGCTGTCATTTCATTTTGTAACATTCCAGTTCTTAATATTTGCGTGTGGATGTATAATAAGCATCACTGAAATATAAAATAGAAGATATACACTTTTTAATCAAAATATTGAATGTATAAATTATTTCAATATATCAGTGCTATATTCTATTTTATAAAAATATAGAAAGTAATACCAAGAAAGTATTTTTTTAAAAAATTCTGATCTCCAGATTCTAAAAAGACACTTTAAGTAGTTATAAAAATTAAATTTCCATTGCACATTGCAAAATCTCTTTGTTCATTAGATTCATTGTATTGAGTCTATAATTTCTATAATAAAACCATATTTTTAATTTTAAAATGGCTTGTTTATTCACTTGAGGGTGTTGTACACGACATAAGATATATCAGTGTTTTATTGTAATAATTCTTCACAGAAATATGTATAATACAAATGAATCATAAGCAAGTACTACTACTCAACTTCTTTGTGTAAACTTCATATGATGTGAATGATCTATAGTCATGTTATTCAACCCAGCATCTAGCATCTGATTGCAGGTAAAATATAGGTGGTTCTCATTTACAATAACAACCCCTTGTTCTGTGATTTTTTTTAAAACTTGCAACAAGTGGTAATTATGACCAGAACTTCAATTTCCAGCTGTCGCAACATCCCTTTAATCATACAGTTACAATGTTGTAGCAATGTTGCAGTTATATAATTGCAATTTCTAACATTTCTTGCTGGTATCCCACAAGCAAAGTCAATGGGGAAGCCAGCAGGAAATCGGAAGACCTGTTCACATGAAGTTCTCATGTAATGACTGCAACCGAGACTGTTGGAACTACCATCACTAAGTGACATGGTCATGTGACATTACACTTTACAACCACATTGTTAACAACAGCAATTTTAGTCCTATTTGCAAATGTACTGTAAACTGAGGATTACCTGTATTAAGATCTTCATGTATTGGTATCAATATATTTACATGGGACAAACCTAGGAGCACATTTCAAATTTCAGGTAAAGGGAGAAGAAACTATGTTAGCATATGGGATAAAAGGTAAATGTCTTAGCAAAATTCAAGGAAAGCTGGTCCCTAATTTTCATAAGTGGCCTTCTTTCTCAACTCTATACAATATTTCAATGTATTTAGTGCAACCTAGATTGAAGCTCTGCATATAATGTGATGTATTGGGAAGTTTGTGGAACTTTTGTGCTGTCAGCCCCATTGTAGAAATTGCAATATTATGGTTAGAGGATATATGAGAATGCTTCCAAATTCATTAAGTAGCTTTCCTTTGTAGCTGTGTATATGAATAGACAAACTAAGAAAACAATGATAAGAAATAAGGATGAAAGTGATGTGCTCATAGTTTCTTGACCACGGCGATTTAACTGAATGAAAGTAGGGTTCTTTAGTGTTCTCAAGTAATGCTGTTTTGCACAAAGGTTTCAAGCTGTATATCTTTCCCTCTTTGTACAAGACAAATCTTGAGACCTTCTCAGGGAACAGCATGAATTATTCCTGCAGCCCACTGCAGGATACCAATTATATAGCACATGGATTGAAATTATGCATTGACTTTCAAGATGGAAAACATATATATGGAAAACAACCATTTATAATTTTATTCCATTTTCAATGCGAAGGGAAGAGAGGGGACAAGCAAGAGAGCATCATTTTCTTATTGCCCCTCTAATCAAATCCATGAAGGCAATCAACTTCTTTTGCTTGACTTTAGAAAGGTTGCAGAGGGAATATAATCAGCTACCATCCATCTTTCTGATGCTTTGCCCTTACCTTAGCTGGTCTCCTGCTAGCCAGACACTTGGAATTCTCATTTCATGGTGAGGATTGTGAATGCTAGTAATCTGTTATGTATGGATAGTTACAATTAAATATGAAGTACGATAATCATCTTTTGAAACTTAGTGTAATGTCATGTACATATATAGGTGTAAAAACAGATATATAGTCTTCCTTCCTTCCTTCCTTCCTTCCTTCCTTCCTTCCTTCCTTCCTTCCTTCCTTCCTTCCTTCCTTCCTTCCTTCCTTCCTATCTTCCCATTAGTTTTTTTTTCTATTTTATTAAATAAAAGTACTCCTGCAGTCCAGTAATGCTCTGAAAACACAAAGACAGGGAACAAGAGTTTCCAGAATAATTAAAGACTCGGTTTGTAATATAGATGGAGGCATAAGCAGGATCCAAAACTTCTATCAAAATTATGAAAGTCACAATGCAAATTTTGCTGTTCCTACATGTATGTAAGTCATAAAATATATATGTTACCGTCAATGTGTGAAATTGGGCAATTTTATAGAATGCCTAGGAAATCTATAGAGTGCCAAAAATGGAACATCAAAGTGTGAAATGCTTAATATTTCGCACTTTTCCTAGGTATTCTATGGAAAACCAAAAGGCAAACTGACAAAGTATAAAATACTCCTGCTAAAATGCCATTCTAGCCTTCCTTGTTGCAACAAATAGGTCAATACTGGTCCTTTTCTCTTGTTTTTTTTTTTTTTCAGTAAGTCCTGTCTTTTTTTTTTTTTTGCATTCTTCCTTCATTTTTATAAATGTCTTTTCAATAAAGAGATAGAGTTAGGATCAGGGTCAGGGTTAGGGTTACCCTAATCCTAACCCTAACCCTTTTCCTGACTTTGTTTTCATACTTTGCCTAAATAGTTCTTATTATTCTGCATAATGTCTATGTATTATATACAATGCTTAGGAAAAGTGCATATTAAAATAATGCAGACATGTCATACTTTACCTAAAAATGTCACACATTGCTGGTAACATATACAAAAGTGGCAGAAAGTGCCTAATCCCCCTCCCATTGAAACCCCCATTTCTATATGTGCCTGACAGCAGGTGTGAGAAAAAAGGAGCAGGCAAATGAGATGAAACCAACTAAGGTTTGATGACCTTCAAAAACAACCTATAATATCTGTCCCAAACCTTTCTCATAAAGAAAGGGAAAATGGGGTTATGTGATTCTATGCACTGTCAACTGGCAGCATTATGGAGTACACATGGTCATCTTCATTCTCTCACTTTTCAAGAAGACATCTCGGAGAGCAATTCAAATGTACATTCAAACATTAATACTCATCTTTTAGTCTTAGAAGGCTGAAAACCTATATCACACTTCTTGTTTTAGTAGGATTACGCCAATGTCCTCATGGCACAGTCAAGGCCAAGTTACAAGTGATCACAAGTGCTCATATTTAAAACTACACTTCAACTATTTCCTTCCATTTTGTAGAAAGAACCAGAGACCTTTTGCATACGACAAAGGATAATTTTCTTTGCCATGTTGTTTTCCTGCTAAAATCTTCTTCTGGTAACTCCCATTGTCTCTCAAGAGGCTGTTTACTGCAAAAACTGTCTTTGAAGGCAAAGAACATCTGAGAAACATTTTAGCCGAGAAATAAAAGGAGAGAAAGATTCATTCCCTTCTTCTCTAGTTTCTGATTTGCAATGTTTTCTCCCTATGCAATTCCACTTGGGGAGGGGAGGGAGGATGGAAAGCGGAAGGAGTATGTCAATCAGCTCCTAATGTGGTTTAAGCACTGCTTTCCTCAAATCCTGCCTTGCATTCATTTTGAGGGTTGTGAATAGAGAAGTAAATTCAATGGCTCTAACAGGAGTTTCTATAGCCATGGAAGTTGTGATATCCAACTTTTTTACATAATATTGAAGCAGCAAAGTTTAACATAAAAATCATGTCAAAAGCTACCAGTCTCCTCTCTACCCCTTTCAGAGAGCCAGCTTTGTAAAACCTTTTGTGTTTTCAAAGAAGTGGATCAAACTTCTTTGAATCAACCAGTGATTCTGATAGAACATTGAAAACAACTAAGCAGATGTATTGCTCCTTTGGAATATTATTACAAAAATCTCATTCTACTCCTTCCACTTAGTCTTGCAGTCCTACAGTAACTATATAATAAAGAGACAATAAAGGAAATAATCCCATTGCATTATATGACATGTACTTTAAAGTCAGAAAAAGTGCTCCCAGAGATAGGGATTAACTCTGTATACTACCATCTTTCATTTTTGCTGATCAAGAGAGGATTGCATTATTAGACCCTACACAATAGCCTCATCTCCAGTAAGATTTGAAGTTAACGTACAATTTAGAGTGGTGAACCTTACATTCTTCTACTCTGCACTAGGATTATCGTCTAGGATAATCCTAGTGCAGTAGCCGTGGTGGCACAGTGGTTAGAATGCAATATTGCAGGCTAATTCACTGCCCACAGCCTGGAATTTGATCCTGATCAGCTCGAAGTTGACTCAGCCTTCCATCCTTCTGAGATTGGTAAAAGGAGGGCCCAGATTGTTGAGGGCAATATACTGACTCTGTAAATTGCTTAGAGAGGGCTGTAAAGTACTGTGAAGCAGTATATACATCTAAGTCAGTGGTTCTCAACCTGTGGGTCGGGACCCCATTTGGGGTCAAACGACCATTTCATGGGGGTCACCAAGCCACGCTGTCCGCCATTTTTTTCCCTTTTCCCCAGCTGCCCTACTCCCTCTTATTGGTGGCCACACCCACTTGGGGGTCACCACAACATGGGGAACTGTATTATGGGGTCACGGCATTAGAAAGGTTGAGAACCACTGGTCTAAGTGCTATTGCTATCTACAGTAGCATTTCTGATATTGGCTGGGAGGCCTAGATGTGAATACACTAAGGCAGAGGTCCCCAAATGTTTGGGCACCAGGGACCGGTTCTGTGGAGAGAGGGTGCGTGGTTTTGTGTGCTGTCTGCATCTCACAAATGGGGTTTGCTTGTTTGTGTGGACCGGTTGCTGGCATGCTGCAGCCCACGGACTGGAGGCTGGGGACTCTTGCACTAAAAGATTAGCTTTTAAGCTGAAATTGCATCACCCATTTCCTTGCATATTTTCATGCTACATTGTATTGCATTAACAAGCAATCTCTCCTGGAGAGTGTAAGAAATGTAAGTAGCAACTACACGCAACTATTCAAGATATGGCCAATTCTATTTGCTTCCACTCCAATGTTGTTATTTTACTCAGGCTCACCAATAAAGGGCCCATTTTAGGCTACATAAGCTTATTTGTGAATAAATGCCCTTAGAAGTAACTCAGGCTGAAATTGGAGATACTCATCTCTCAGTAAATATATATAGAATTGCACAATAAATCTATTGGCAAGCAAGATGGCCAAATTTGGACCCTAGATGTTAAAGCATACAGTTGTCTAAAATCTTTTTGAGATTTATGCAGTTAAGTAGTCAGTAATCCTTTCTCCTTGTTATTATTTCTTATTCTCATATTTTACTTTCCCTATACTGTATATGATAATAATTATAAGTAAAAATTAGATGCAAACAACAATCATTTTTTTTTTAAAAAAAATACCTAAATAGTTTTCCAGGATCTCTCTCTCCAAGCTCCCCCTCCAGTTCTAGATTTCCTGATAGTTTCCAAATTCAAGTACTTTGCAAGCCCAATCAGCTTTTTTTGAGATCTAAGTCAGCTAGGTGGTATTACCTGCTGAGACTTAATCCATACAGTCCAAAGTAAAAGGACCCTGAGGTCACCAAATCACCAAACCCTGATATCAACAAAAGTCAAGATGAACTGGAATGAGACTTTATCTTTTTATAGGAAAATATATAATTCAGACTCATTTAAATGCATCATCAACAACTCAGGAAATCAAGTAATCAGAAGAAATTAAAAGGCAATTAGGAAACATAGTAAGTTCTGTCCAGGATAGAGATATTTTTATAGTACAATCCTACATATGTCTATTCCATCCTTCTGAGATCGGTAAAGTGAGGACCCAGATTGTTGGGGGCAATATGTTGACTCTGTAAACCGCTTAGAGATGGTTGCGAAGCACTGTGAAGTGGTATATACCGTAAATGCCGGCGTATAAGGCGACTTCCGCGAGCGCTGAAATCGGCGCCAAAGACGGGGGTCGTCTTATACGCCGAGTCGTCTTATACGCCGGAAATACTGGTAGTTTCCGACGTATAAGACGACTTTCTAGGAATGCGGCCCGGCTATAAAGACGGGGGTCATCTTATACACCGGGTCGCCTTGTACGCCGGCATTTACAGTAAGTCTAAGTGCTTTTGCAACTGCTACTCCATACAAATTCCCACTGACTGACATATGATGGTAAGCTTAATGAATTATCAAATGCCTTCTTAAAGGCAAATTGTGGAGTCACTGTAGGGAAGATCGTATTTTACAGAGCACTGTGATGGGTGCACTGGACTTCAAAATCTATACCAATTTATCAGTGCAAACAGTAAGTCCACAATCCCCAAATGGTGAATCACCTACATAAAGAGAAAACAGATCTATCTGGGCTAGAAGGCCAAAATCACTACATTTGCCATTTTGCACATTTTCACCTTCCTTGTGGTGAACATGTGTGGCAGCCAAGAGCTGAATAAATCCTGTTTTCTCAGATACATATGAAGTGTGTTACTTATGTTTTATCCTGACCTGAACCATAAAGATCAGCACTGACTCCCCAAACCAACTCAAGCCATTTGGGTTTCAGTAGTTGTTTTGTTTTTGTTTTTTTGTTTTTTGTTTTAAAAAAACAACCCCAAAGTAAAACAAAAGATATTTTCCTAGGCCACAATTATCTCCTGTTATGGTCAGCATTGATCACTGCAACAGTGTGATGGAATCTCTGCCTGTTTTTTATGTGCAGGAAATTAAGCAATACATAATTAGGCATTAGGGATACTCAGAATCTTACATTTGGTTAAGTTAATCAAAGTGCTAACTGCAAGTATGCAAACTAGGCCAGGAAAGGATTAAGTTCTAACTTGAGGTTTTTAGGTGAAGGTGAGGGGAACAGACTAATCTCAGATATACCATATATGCCGGCGTTTAAGACGACTTCCGGAAGCGCTAAACTCGGCGCCAAAGATGGGGGTCGTCTTATATGCCGAGTCGTCTTATACGCCAGAAATACTGGTAGTTTCCGGCGTATAAGACGACGTTCTAGGAATGCAGCTCGGCGATAAAGACGGGGGTCGTCTTATATGCCGGGTCGCATAATACGCCGGCATATAGGGTAGTTTCTTTGACCCATTGTTTTTCAAAAGTAGCTTGTATAAAAATCCATTACATAACTGTCCTGACCTATTTCCCACATCCATTAATGCATATATACTGAAACGCAATTAATGAATCAAAGCCAAATTAATTGTACTTAATTTGCAAACGTTTATAAAAAGGGGCTGCAATGGCTCCTCTCTTGAGGTCTGTCTTTGCTTCCAGCACTGATCAATAAAGCAATTCATGCTTCAGTGAAGGCTTGCTGGTCCCTACCTATGATGGGGTGGGTAGGTGGATAAACATGCCTTTTTCTTATGTTTTAGAATGAAGAAGAGAGAGCAAGAGAACTGTTAGATTTTATGTTTTTTTTCCTTAAGTTATTCAAAACAATTTATAATCTATCATACACACAGTATTACTTGTCTGATTTGATTGTAGTTTGTTTTTTTATGATTCCCTCTAAAATATGCACTAAAATAATTTTAGCTTATTTATTACAATTTCATTTTCAACCACTTTAAAAACACAAATATATAAGCTATAAAGTTTATTGGTTGTTAGAATTATTCACTACTGCATTCATTTTGCCAGATCCTGGCATGTGACCTATGACAAAGTAATAAAGAATGCCTCAGGAATCTGGATGACATATTATTTTAAGAGAAATTTGAATCTATATTTGAGTCAGAACCAAAATGAAATCAAATGACATTGCCTGATATGATTTAGTTGCCATCCTGCTGTATTAATGCCACCCCAATAGTCTCAGAAGAGATTTCATTCAAAGCAGGCAAGCTTAAGGATGCTTACTTAGCTGAAAATATCATCGAAATCAATGAAAATTTGCTTCTGAATACTCATGGTTATGAATGGTGTTCAAAAGCAAAGGGAAAGGCACATCATTCTTTTCTGAGTTAAGTGTGCCATTTGATGTATGTGTAGCGTGTGGAAGAGCAGGATCAAAAAAAATAAGTTTAACTTCATTTCATTTATATTTAAATGGACCTTCCTAGTTAGAATTCTGGAGGATCCTGCCTCACTGAAAATGAAACAAAAGAGATTTTCGTTTAAATTTTATTACAAAGAATGAGGATGTGTTTCTGAGTGATTTTCTCTCTGTGTGTGTGTGTGTCTGTGTATGTGTGTCCCTCCCTCCCTCCTTCTCTCTCTCCCCTCCTTCTTTTCCCCCTCTCTCTCTTCCTGGATTATCAAACAGGAGTCTCTGAAAAACCTGTTTCCCCATCAACATCAATCACATTTGCAGTTTATGGCAAGTTAAGTGACGCTTTCTGGGATAGGCTACACGTGCCTGAAAACTGTGCTATAGGTTCATGCAATCTTTCATTAAACTTAATGAAACTGAAACTCATCTTTTCTGGAGCTGAAAGAGGAAAAGCGGAACATTTTCCTTTCAAACCAGACAGCTGCATAAACCTAAAGCTTAACACTGAATTAATAACGGCAGTGGAATGCAATATTTACCTGTCACACAATAAAGAAAGTTTTTGCTTTCAGGATATGCATAGTGAAGGCTATGGCTTTGATGGGAAAGCATATGTCTTGATGTCTACATGGCTCTGGTTTCAAAAACAGCATGGAGATGCTATTATATTTTCAGTTGCATCCTTTTTAGTATTTGAATACCTTGACTATTTTTATCCATTCCTTATTTTTTTCTTGGAGATTTTCAGCAAAATGCCATCAAGACACATTTTGATTTTAGTTTCCTGATCTATGCAACGTATTTTTCATTTATAGTTGTCCAGGATATCTCATAGGGCAGTGATTCTCAGGGAACTCATGTGTGTATGTGTGTGTGTGTGTGTGCAATGTCATCACAGGAGGTCTGTGAATATTTGATACAGTCTAGCGCTTTAAATCTTGAGTTAAGTCTTGGTGGTCTGTAGCCATGGTTGAGAACCAGGCATGGTCCTGTCTGGGTGTAGTTAGGGATCATTTCCTCTTTCACAATGGCTGGTCTCTACTTTTCTTTCACACCTATGTATGATGGTATCACTGTTGTGCATAAATCATAAATAATAATAATAATAGCTTCTTTTGTTTCCTGTAGGATAATGCTTCATTTTTCTTTCTGTTTCATCTTGAATCTTCCACAAGAGGTTCTGTTCAATTAAAGTTCACTTGTGAATCAAGAATCAGGTGTTGGTGAATCGGGTGTTCTATGAAATCTGAAAACATCCATGGTCAACCACTTATTATCAGATTCCATGGCTCCTGTTCACAAATAGGTGGGATTTTTTTGCTATCGTTCAACAGAAATCTCCAGTGCCAAATGTTTCACAAACGGTTTTTGCTGCAGAATGGCAACATTAGGCAAATGCTAGTCAATGCACTTGCATGTTGGCTTTATATTTAAAAAACTGCTAGGCACAGCTGACCAATAATTGCAAATAAGTGAAAAGATGGAAGCTCAGGTATTCCATATAGGAAGAGAATGGAAATGGGAAGGATTATTTCATGTCTTTTCTATGTGCAATTAGAAATGCAGTAGGCTATTACAGGAAACGTAAGAGAGCCTTAATTTCTTCTTCCAGTTTCGATCAACTGTGTGGAATTATTTTCTAGTTATCCAATTACAAAACTTCCTCATTTGATTCTTGATCTATCAACACATACAGCTACCCATATCCACCTATTCCAAAAATAGAAATATGCAATAAATTCTCAACAGTGCAAAAGGCTGCTTTAGCATTATCTAGGGCTACAATAACGTACCTCGAAACAAGGATTCCTTTTTTAAAGTTGAGAAATCAAAAAAAGATTTCAACCATATATCATTTCAAGCCCAATCCAAAGTCTTCCTCTGAAAAATGTAAACAAGATTCTTAGTGGCGTGTGTGCAGATGCCAAAAAGCCAAGTTTGTCATTGGTTTCCCACTGAGGTGGCCTCAAAGATCTCAAGTCCTGCTTTGAAACAAACCTGAGCTGAGTTGAAACTGTTGAACACTTTTGACAAGATAGCTTGTAGAGTCTCATTGGACTGATGTAACTTCCAGTGCTCTGCTGCCTCCAGGAGTACTGAAAATTGCTGTTTCCTGTCATCTAGTCGATAAAGGATATTTCTAAAAAAAAAAAAAAGAACAACCAAGAAAAACGGTAAATGATTGTCTTAAGTAGATGGAAACAGGAACGTAAAGATCCACCTGAATTCATCAGCAATGTTCTCAGGTGGCAGCCATAATTTCCAGATTACAAATATTGTCTACTGTTAATACTAAACCTTGGCAAGCTCAGAAATTGAATGTGTACATTTTGTCTGATTTCTCAGAAATTTGCTCATTGTTTGCTCTGTGAATCTAAGTCTACAAGCATCATCCAGGCAGATGAATTATAAATCACAACATCAGCTCATGTTATCCCTTTTGTAGCTAGGAATGTTTTGTCCTTGAGAAGAGTATCTCCATCCTAACTTCCATAGACCTTACTCTTCCCTAGGATGTCTTTTTGCCCTTTGTGCAATTTCACTATGCTATTTCAGAGCAATTCAGTAATATATATTTTTTAAAATATTTTTTTTTAAAAAAAATGTTGCCTCCTTAAAAGGAGAAAAATGTGCCTGGGACAGTGCAACACCTATATTTTCCAAAATGGGATCATATTAACTTTTTGCATAGATTAATTTTCACCATAGCTGTTTGTTTCATAAATATCCAATTCAAATCAAAAGACAGTTCCTGATACATTTTGCTCTTCAGATTTTTTTCATTCATGAAGCAAAGTCTCTAATTAGTCTGTAATTTCACATGATAAGACGTAAATATATCAATGATCTGTGCAAACAGCAAACTTTTATACCATATCAAACTGATGTGTCTCATCCTTTGTTCTGTTCAACAAATGGAACATTTTGAGCACTCAACAGCCAGCCTGCATTTACAGCATTTTGCAACATGTCACAGTCACGTGACTATATTTTACAACACTTTAGCTGGCAATCAGCATTTACTAGGGGCAAAATCGGCTCATACCAAACAATGGGCTCTCTTAATGATCACCGCAAAAAAGTCATAAAATCCTTTGGACAGCTAGATAAGTGGCATATAAATAAATAAAAAAGAGCCGAGGTGGCGCAGCAGTAAGGGTGCAGTTCTGCAGGCCAGTTTAACCAACTGTGTTCAGCAGGTCAGCGGTTCAAATCTCACCGGCTCAAGGTTGACTCAGCCTTTCATCCTTCCGGGGTAGGTAAAATGAGGACCCAGATTGTTGGGGGCAATGTAAATATATATATACATTGCTTACTGGTGTACACCGCTTAGAGAGTGCTTGCACTTAAAGCGGTATATAAGTCTCATAAATAAATAAATAAATAAATTTTAAAAATGGGTCAGTCACATAGGTGACCTGTGTTATGATGATCATGTCTTACGAATGTGATGGGTAGGCTCCATTACAGTCATAAGTCAAGGACTACATTGTGTGTCAATGTTGTTTATTATTTATTCAAATTATTCATGAGCCATTTCAAAAACCAAGCTAACCTGGACGAGCTTCACCTGGATGGACTTCAGCTTTTAGAATTCTCAGTAATAATCAAATTGCCTGAGCAAATTTTGACCTATCCAAAATCAATTAATTTTAATATTAGGACAGCTGTTTGGGGTATAAAAATATGTTCATGAAGCAACTATTCCATGGTATTCTGCCTAACTGTTTTCTATATTATAAAATGTCCCAGGCAAGCACTTCCATAATTAATACTTTAAGCAACATTATTTAAAGTACTGCAAAATTAAACATCTTTTCAAAAGCAACCTTTGCTATATGTAGGTTTGCACCGATCATTGTGCTTCTGGTTGGCAGCAAGTAATAAATATTATCTTAAAGCACGTGTAATCATTACTCTAATTAAAGCAGTATGTAAATATCATATAAATTTCTACCCAGAGGCATTTTTGGTTGTGAACCAAACAGTGTGAAGTTGGAAAACAATTAAAACACACCTAAAAGGTTGGTGAGGGATCACAGGTAGAATTTTATCCTCAAACATATGAAAAGAGATTTCATAAAAAAGAATGGCAAGGGAAGAAAAAAAAATAACAAAAAGCAGCTCAACCAAGACAGTCCATTAGTAACTTAATTACAGACAAGCCCAGTGGCAACTGCAAATTAGTAATAAAACTGCCAGAGATAGTCACCCAGAAGACTACCAGAGAGTATTTTCTGCAGATCACTATCAGAGCTATCTAATTACCATTTAAAGAGAGAAGGGTTGGCTAACAACATCAACAGAAAGTGCAAGATAAATGGCAACTTGGTAAATGCACTTTAAAATGGTTCTTTTGTAGCTGCAAAAACAGAAAGGGATCCCTCCCCAAAGACTTTGGGACTTTCATAACTTAAACAGCTTTTAAGCATTTAAAGATGCTGCTGCTCCAAAACTCCTTTTGTATCTCAATGCATCAATGTACCAAGATGACAGAAGCAGTCTAAATTGAGTTCTGATTAGAAGTCCTTTATGGCCAGTTGAATAGATCTTTATTTATTAATTAAATTTATATACCATCCTTCTCACCGATAGGGCGACTATGGGCAGCTTACAGACAATAAAAAGATAAATATAGAAACAATTACAATTACAATGCTATTTGCTTGATTATTCGTGTCAGAAGCATCACAATTAAAATAACGCATACTATATGACATAAAATTTAAAATATAAATTTAAACGAGAAACGAGCAACATTGTGTTCTGTCATGCTGCCATGAGTTCATCAGTGTACACTGATTGGATCACAAAGGACAGGTATACATTTGTGTTGTTGTCTGCATGTCACCACAATCACAAAGAGCAGATGCAAACAGACAGCCCCATTTGTTCATTTGTCTCTGGATCTTGTTTATATATGTGGCAGTATATTCAATGATTTCCACACTTCCCAGCTTTTGTCAGACCCGGGTGCCAGCTTCTCTGTTGGTTCCATCCAGCATTGTTCCCTTCTTCAAAGTCTTCCAAGGAGATGGATGGCTTGGGAATATATCTTTTTACCCTGTTAACCACTGCCAGGATGGTAGAATGTTGCACAGGACCACGTCCACAGCATAAAAGGCCCTTCTCCTTGATCCCATCAGGCAGAATTCCTTGGTTGATGGGATCTGCAGCAGGCCCCTTCCACTGGAGTGAGATGATTTAGTCCCATTGGAGTAAGATGGCACCTCATGAATTCATGCCATGCAGGTATGATTATGATTATGGTTATTATTATTATCAACAATAACAGTAACAATTTATTGTTTGGAAGAAATTTGTCCCATATGAATTTCAATGCAGACTTTTCCCATTTTCAGTTCTGGATTCAAAGCCAGAACTGAAACAATTGTTTAATGGGAATATCCAAATGCTAGAATTGAGTTATTCCATAAGAATATTTGCCCAAAGGTATGTACACATTGCAAAACTATCTACCAAATTGTGTGTATTAATACAAATAGTTTACAAAACATATAGCAGAGAACATGAAAGGCAAAGTTGTACATCTCAAGAGAATTATGTAGCTTAAAAGAAATCTTATACCTTAAGAAAAATCCATATAAACAAGCATGCATATATATTTAATGTGCATGTTTATCTTTAAAACAAATTGCATATTTATGTGCAAATTTAAGACTGGAAAAAGCAATCTCATAAAACCAACTGTCCATGAGGAAAGTAAATTCCTGTAAATAAGCCAAATGGATTGGCAAAACACTAAGAGAGCATCTTCCTCCATCCCAACTATGGAAAACAAACCAGCTTGGCACACATTGGAACAATTCTGCACCAAGAACTCTGTCCCAATGTCTCAACTTTGCTCTTCATTCCTCAGAATTTGCCATTTCATTTTCTAAGCCAGGGGGACCAAGACAATTCTTGGTTCTTCGAAGAAGTTCTATTTAATGTAAAGGGGGTGACTATTTTTATTTTTATACGTCACAGTGTTAGATGTTCATAAGAGATAAACACAATGTTACTTAAGACATAGAGTTAGTCCTCGACTTACTTCCATAATCGAGCTCAGAACTTCTGTTGTATGCCATAATGGTTGTAAGTCATACCCACATGATTGCTCCGATTTTACAACATTTTTTTGCACCCAACATGCAATTGTTAATTCTACAATGAACCTGGCTGAACCCATCTTGCTCATTCTACATTGCCATAAGCATGGGAAGAGGGAAGTGGAGGTTGTTTTTGATAGTCTAAACAATTCTCTGCCCCGTGGGAACCAAGGTCATTTCAAACGATCGGATTGGTTTCCCAAACTATTCTATTGGGAAATGTAGCTGATTGCCTATTATTGGGGTGGGAAGTTTAACTTTGTAATAGTGTAACTCTTTGGAGGGAATTTAAGACTTGGTTTCACTTTTGACCATGCCAATATTTTGTAACCAAGAAACATGTTCTTTCAGGGAACTTCTAGCATTAGAGTTCTATTTTGGGGGGGGGCACTATTTATTGGAACCATGTCATCAATCACGTAACACAGAGGGGGTAGTCATCAAAACATCAAATCCTGGTTGTAAGTTCCTTTTCGTAGATCTGGGGTAACTGAATGGTCATTAATTGGCTACTTTTATGAGAACTTTGAAAATGTTCATTGTAAACATTTTTTTTTACATGGGTGCTAACAGTGTGTTATAAAAGAGATAGAATGTATAGGAAAACTGGCTAATTTGGCTTTAGCTATAATTTCTAGTTATGGGACATGTTTTCTAAAATCTTCAGAAAGAAAGTTATACTATAAAATAAAATCCTACAAGGGAAAAGGCAATATTGGCTACAGTATCTGATGTACTATATGTCAGGTCTGCCATTGTAAATATTTCAGCCTGCTTCACCTTGCTGGCATCCTGCCATAAAATGTGGGAGGAGAGAGGAAAGGAATGTATGGGGAAATGAAATGATAGGATGACAGGAACCAGAGATACCAATTCAGAACAGAACCGCACATCCAAGGATGTGAACATGAGAACGGAATGCAAAACTACACCAAAGAGGCATCAAACCTGAAAGCTGATACCAAAATACCAAATTCAAATACTATTGGACACTCATGAACTGGTCAAGGGAAGACGTGTTTGGGAA